TTCCGCTCCGATTTCGAGCTGGGCGCCATTTTCACCCCCTCCCTCCACTTCCGGAGCAACCGGCCCTTTAGCCCCACCCTCTCCACGTCCCGATTGGTCCTTTCTCTGAGCAGCCGCCCGTCGGTTGGATGAAGGCTTGTACTCCCGGCCTCTTCCCGCTACGCCTGTCTATCAAAGGCACCTTGTATCTTGATTGGTTAAGATCATCACAGCACCCCCTTCCAGCCGTCGCCTTGTTCCCGCCCTCTCTCAAGGATGAACCAGTTAGAAGCCCCGTCTGCTCGCTTCGTCCAAAAAGCTGTCACTTGATACGTGGACTTCCTGTCCGTCTCAGCGTCGTCACGCCCCTCAGTGGCTAGTGGGTTTCTATGGAGACCGCAGGCGGTCCAGGCCTGTGGGCGGGGCGATAAGAACCAGTGGTCCAGACCCAGAGCGGATCATCGGCGCCCAAAGGGGGCGAGCCGTGGTCTGAGGAGCATCCCTGAGAGGCCTGGACGGGCCTGGGCAAGGATTCAAAGAACCCTAAAAAATAAAAGGAGGATGCCATGAAAGCATCTTGGACGGTCTCGCTGGTGAGATGAAGTCTCACCTGACAAGGGGCCGCACTTGGTTCAGAGAGATCAGGATGATTGTGTAGAAAGAGCCATTTAGAATGTCTGTTCCTTGCATGCCCATTGCATCTTTCCCGGAAAGAGAATCGTGTCTGAATACACCTCTTCTCGCTCACCCGGCCTCGGCTATTCTTTTATCGCAACGTAAACCAGACCTTTCTCAAAGTTACTGCTCACGCGCCCATTCTCCCCATAATCACCCAGCAAGCAACATACCTGTGAACCCCGAACAAATCTGCCTGGACTCCTAGAAACCAAACTCTAAGCTGGGTGCCTGCGGCTCACGCCTGTCATCCTAGCTACTCAGAAGGCTGAGATCTGAGGATCACAGTTCAAAGCCAGCCAATCCTTAAATCTCCATTTAAGAGAGCATATTTTATTTAACAGCCTCCTCGCTCTGCTTCATTTATTATATTATTTATTACACTTATTTTGCATCTGTGTGCCGATCTTGGAGCTTGAACTCTGGGCCTGAGTGCTGTCCCTCACCTATTTTTGCTCAAGCCTAGTGCTCTACCACTTTGAGCTACAGTTCCACTTCTGGTTTGGGGGTGGTTAATTGCAGATAGGAGTCTTACAGGAACTTTTCTGCTCAATCTGGCTGGCTTTGAACCACAATCCTTAGATCTCAGCCTCCTGTGTAACTAGGATTGCAGACATGAGCCACCAGCACCTGCTCCCTGAGATTTTTGTGCTCAAGGCTAATGTCCTGCCTACCACTTGAGCCACAGCTCCACTTTCAGCTTTTTGCTAGTTAATTGGAGATTAGGGTCTCAGAGACATTCCCACCTCACCTAACTGTGAACAGCAATCCTTAGACCTCCACCTCCTGAATAGCTTGGATTATAAGCGTGAGCCACCAGCACCTGGCCAATATAAACTTTTCTTAGACTTTTCTTCTCTTTTTCTTTCTCTTTTTTTTCCTTCCTTCCTTACACCCTCCATTTCTTTTTTCCTTCCTTCCTCCCTCCTTTCCTTAGTTCTTTCTTTCCTTTTCCCTTACATGTGCTAGCAAATGCTTTACTATGTGAGCTTCACCTTCACTTCCCAATCTTTTTCTCTCTCTGCTTTGAAGGGACCACAGGGACCCCTAATTTTCTGACTACATATTACATTCCAGAGAATCATTCTAATCACTCAATCCTAACATGCATGAGTACTGGGTTACACATACATATGCCTTTAGACCACACTTTATGGCATATGAATCACAAACCATACAAGGAGAATGCTCATGAGACAAAAATGAAACAAGTAGAAAGGACTAGAAATTACCATTTTCCCCATAGCCAGCACCAGAGACCACTAGAATTGTTTTTGTTTGTTAGTATGTGTGTGTGTGTGTGTGTGTGTCTGTCTGTTTTGTGGGGAGGGAACTGGTGTTTGAACTCAGGGTCCTAAGACAGACATAGTGCAACTTGAGTTGTGCCCTGGCCTTTTTTTGTCTGAGTTGTTTTGCAAATAATGTCTCCCTGACTTACCTGGACCTTGATCCTCCTATTTCTGCTTCCTGAAGAACTAGAATGACAGGTGCATGCCACCATGCCCAGAGTATGTTTTGCAGGGGAGAGGTACGAGTTGAGATGGGTTCCTGAGAATGTTTTTCCCTGGTTGACCTGGAATCCTGATCCTTCTGATCTCTACCTCTCTGGTAGCTGGGACTACAGGTGTGAGGTGCTATGCCCATCCATAGTGGATTTATTTGTTACAGCTACAAAAATTGGTTCTTCCAAATAAAGGAAACATCCCACTAGTCCCTCCACATGGGATAAACAAAGAGTGGTCCCACCATACAATGAAACCTTAGCAAACAATAAAAAAGAATGAATAGGCCCAGTGCCAGTGGCTCACACCTGTAATCCCAGCTACTCAGGAGGAAGAGATCTGAGGATCATGGTTTGAAGGAAAGTCTGTGAAACTCTTATCTCCATTAAACTACTCAAAAAAGAATGCAGAGCTGGGTGCCGGTGGCTCATACCTGTAATCCTAGCTACTCAGGAAGCTGAGATCTGAGGATTGAGGTTCAAAGCCAGCCCGGACAAGAAAGTCCGTGAACGTCTTCTCTCCAATGAACCACCAGAAAACCGGAAGTGGCACTGTAGCTCAAGTGGTAGAGCGCTAGCCTTGAGCTGAAGAGCTGAGGGACAGTACAAAA